AATATATACAAGCTGAAAGTCTCACCCTCTCTCTTTCTCTCTTTTTTTAATGGAGTCATAGTTGACAGTTAAAAAAAAAAAGTGCAATACTCTCTGGTTATGTTATTTGGTTGCTTTCTTGCTTTAATGAATTGTTGGGATCCTTCCATCTGAAAATGTTACTCATTTTGGAAGTGGTTCAAGCCATGCTTGGGCCGAGTGAGTCTCTAAACAGGTTGTAAGCAAAACAGGCCACAAGGGGAATGATGAAGTAAGTAGTGCTTTTGTATCTGTATTAATGAAGCATTTGTTTCTTGTTTGTTTTTATTTTGTTTTCTCTCTCTCTTTTTTTTTTCCCACATGGGCTATAGAGGCAGATAAGTAGACCAAGAGAAATAAACTGACTCTGAGACTATAATTATTTATTTTAACTACTAATTAACAGCAACTGTTATGTCATCTCATGGAGTGTAATAATGAACAACTTTATCTGACCTCCCTCAATCACTTTCAATCTAGTCTATGGGACGAGTTCTTCTCCCTGGACCTGTTGGATGGCTCCAGCAGACCCCATGGCTTTCGAGGCCACTGTTAGGTAGTACAGACAGTTGTTATCCAACAATTAAAAGATCCAGTCTAATGTAATAAAATGCCCAACCTCATTTAAAATTGAACCTCCATTTGCTCTGCCTGTCTCCGTTTGTTCACGCTGTGGGAGGGAGGGCGGGCTCCTTGCAGAGGCTTCTTCTCTTGTCCCTGCCTAGTGTTTCTCCTCTTCCCTGAGCTGTTACACACAGTGTCTGACCCCTTTTCAGGAGGAGAGGAGAGGAGAGGAGAGGAGAAGGGTGTAGAGAGAAGTGTCTACTGCCCTTATCAGAGGGACCTCACTTCTCAACTTTCTGGCCTTTACAGACATTTAAAGGGTGAATTTTCTTTCATAAGCATCTTTGTAAGTTTTTGGAATTTCCTTTTTCTGGAGTTCTTTCCTTTGCAGTTCTTTGGATAAGTGTGACTGCATTTCTTCTCTGACTGTTATGTTCTCATTCTTTATCCTGAGACAGATGGCAGTCCTGCCAGGTGTTAACTTCTGAAGTCTTTTCACTCAACACTCTTGAATAGGACTTGAGGTGACCTCATTCCATCCCGTTTTTGAGCGAGTATGGTTCCTGTCTGTTCTATAGGAAGCTGTTGTGTATATTTTTCTGAATACAGCCTGGAAGTACAGGCTGATATCAGTATGGCCACTGCTCCTGACCTGTGTTTCCATAGCAGCCTGTCAGTCTCTGTGTCGCTCTTTAGACATTCCTCCACAGGGTCGCACAAACTACATATTCAACAACAAGTGCTTCTTGAGGTCCCTTTAAAGCCCCTTCCCTGGCACTTGCTCCTCATGCTGGGGCTTGTAGGACACCTGATACAACTGCCTCAGACAAAATATCCTTCTCAAGGGAAAGGAAAAAAACTTTCTAATCTCCAGTACCCAACTGTTTCATAGCTTGAACATAAATGAAATCATCTAAATGATTCTTGACCACCTACCTTGAACGCTTTTGCATCCTGAGCTAGCATTCATTTTGAATTTTTTCTCGCCTAAAATTTCTTTTCTGACCTCTTGCTGTACTATCCAACCCATAAAATGAGCTCTCAAAAGAATGTAACTTTACCTCCAAATGTTATGGGCAAGCTCATTGTGTATCATTCCCCAAATACATCCTTTGAAATCATGGAGTAACCAAGGGGAGAATGTAAGTATCCTTATTAGTATTATTTACATTTTGGATATTAATACCCTTAATCAGAACATTTACTGCTGTACATCTTGTTGCCCATGTTTTTCAGTAGTTTCTGTGGGGTTCTAGCTAAGCTACAACTGAGAATCTAGATAAATGAGAGTGGAGGACATGCAGTGATCCATTTTTAAATAATCTTAAAATTAATCTTCAAATAGTTCACTTTCATTTTAAAACAATAATTAATCTTTTTTCCTTTTTATTTAACTAATTAAAATATTTTCTCTTGAAGCTAATGGGTGTCAACACTAAATGTTGTATATAAACTGTTCAAAGAATTGCTATATTAGCTCACGAGAAGTGAAGAACTTTAACTGGGCCCCAACAAAAACCTGTTGTCTAGGCTTAACAGTAATGAAGACAAAGACAGTATAATACTTGACATTTTTATGTTTAAACTAATTGGTTTGTCTTTAATGGAAAAAATGCTAAATATATGTCTCGGGGAGAAAAGAAACATTTCCTAGGTGTTTTACAATTAGAAAGAAATGTATCAAAGCAATATACACAATTTGTGGCCTACCTAAAATAACTCCATATTTTTATGGAGTAACCTGAACAATTCCATTTCACCTTGATAAGACTTAGGTCCCCACATTTATCTAAGAACTTTACTCTCTTGTTTTTTTTAACCAAAAAATAATCACAGTTACTTAAAAAGAAACAGTGGACAAACTTAAAGCTAAAACATTTAAGCTAGATCTTGGACACCCTGAGAAGATGGAATTTTTTTTAGTAGATTGTTAATGGAGTCATTTCATGTTTATAAATGTGATAGTGCTTTTTCTTCTACTTTGCGATCGTAATGTAATTCTGAATTTTTCTCCTTATTTAGCATGAAAACTGTGTATGTAATTAGAAAAATTAGATTACTTGAAGTTCATCCAACTATGCCCCTATTTTAAGCACTTTTATTAGGAAAATAACTAATCTAAAGGAGATTGTGACTTTAAATATAAATTTAATATTAATACGTTAAATTAAATATAAATTTAAATATTCAGTGGAATATTTAAATACCCTCCTTTGTGCATCATGAAAGGGACTTTGTTATTTCCCTTTCCTTAAGGAAGTCTACAACAAGAGGGTGTTCATACATGAAGATCCTGTACTTGCTTGCTTTATATTGAGTATAAGCAGAAATGCCTTTATAAATCAGAATGACCTTCTGACTCTAATGCTTTACGCTCTAAGTCTTATTTAGGGGGAAAGGCTCAGAGTAAATAACTTCTCATTTAAAATCAAGTTATTGATAAAAGAAAACTACCACTCTTTTTATTCTTAGTTAGTACTTGAAAAGAAAATATAAACCCTTGGAAACCATGTGGACATCCCAATAAATTAACTTTTGGTATTAGGCACCCTGCTTAGTTTCATGGTGATTAATCTGCTCCAATTGCCTGCAGAGCACATGCTGTCTCGTAATCACAGAGGTAAAACAATCGCTTCGTTCATGGATGTGCTGGCTCCCCCACCCGCGTGCTGATGTGCAGGTCCCATCTGGTCACTGTAACAGACTGTTGGGATATTGTCAGACTGCTTAGACTTCTGCCAGAATGCTGACAAGAGCTCTTTCTGTGTCTCCAATTTTCAGGGAAATTTTACAGATCACTTTTCAATAATTACTGAGTGCTTCCTATGGATGTGATGCTCTGCCAGGTGTTAAAGATGGTAGGAAAAAAAGCATTGTCCCTTGTCAGTTGATCTCAGTGATCACTCTTTAAGAAGATAATGGAGACTGTGACCTGTATTCTGTACAAAGTTTTGAAATCTACCCATAAGCCTTACTGCACCAGAAATTCAAAAGTACCAATTCATTTGTAGATTTCTTCACTTTCCTTTTAATGTGTGTGGTAGAGTAGCATTTCTCTCATTTTCATTCAGTGCATATTTATTGAACTCCTACTATTCCAGGTAGAATACACTTATTCTGAAGATAATGCTGAGATGATAATGTTAGAAAGTGCAACCTTCGCTACTAAGTGGTGTAGTCGAGACTCGAACTCACATCTTCAAGTTCCACTGCATCTCATTGATCTTTATGCCCGGAAAAGGTCCCAAACTACATCTACTTGCAAAAACAAAAGGGCAGATGGATGTGAAAAGCATGAGCACATGGGAATTCAGAGGAGGTTGGTGGAAGAAAGCTAAATGTAAAAGAGGTTTTGAGCTGAGTCCTAAAACAGGAACAGGAGAGACAGTTCTCACCTGGGACATCATGAAGGAAGCTACATGGGCAAATCAGACCCAAAACTTGAGAATTTAAACTTCCCTTTTGTAACAGTTTCTACCCTAGCCACTTTCAGTTTTACAAGCTTTACCTTTGGCTCTCCTGTCCTTATTTTCCAGTACTTTATCTGAGCTCAAATCTCCTCCCTCAATCTGCCCTTGGACCCAGAGTAACCATTGCTCCCTTGGTTGTTCAAATCCTTTTACCATACATCATTTAGAGCAGCATTTTCCCAACTTTTTTACAACCATTCAAGAACTTGAATTTTGTTCTTTGATAGAGATGGCCACTTGCATTTTTAAGGCTCTGATTTTTTGGTCTCTAATTAGGTTTTACGAACAAGTTGTAACTTCCTCTTCTGTATTCCATTCAGTTGTTTTGGCATCTCTGAATTAGGCCAAAGGGCATTTGACTGACCTTGCACTTGCTAACTTGAGTCAATTAAATTGCTTCTCCAAAGATGAAACAAAGAGCAGATATAATTAGAATTTCCTTAGGATGTTGTTACAAGGCCTTATCGTTATTTGAATGTTTCTGTAACTTGCCTAAGATTAAATAATTAAAAATAAATTGCCTGACATTTCACCTTACTACTTGATAACTGTTAATAAACTATATAAATTCTAAATGGAAGAATAATTGTCAGAGACATCGTGAGTTCCTCCTGCCTATTTATATTCAAAATGAAGTAAAAATGCTTCAAAAAACAAACTTTTGAATTTTGAGTACAGATAAGCAAATAGAATCAATATAACTAGATCATAGGTTGTATTTTTAAATGCATGCAGCTCCCTTGGTATTTTCATAAGAAAGTGAGTATTAAATCTCTTATGAAAAAATGTATTTAAAATATAACTTTACAGCATATGAGCATGTATCAGGTGACACTGAAGACAATTTTCATTTCATTAGAGCCATTTATTTTCAAACTAGTAATCTATATTCTGTAACTCTTAAAGAAAAAAATATATATACATAAACACTTTCACTTTTTTTTTTTAAAGAATATGGAATGCTTCACAAATTTGTGTGTCGTCCTTGTGCAGGGGCCATGCTAATCTTATCTATATCATTCCAATCTTATCATAGGTATTACCAAAGTATTACATACATACTTTTAGAGGTTAGTATTTGATTCTTCCAAGTGTAAAAATGTAACATGCGAAAGTTAATCCTTTGGAAATGATCAATTTCAATGGTGAAATATGAAAACTACGTAAACATACTAACATGGTTAAGTCAGTAAATCATAAAATACAGGACTGACTTATCATTCATACTTGTTTTAAAACGTTAACCCATAAATGATCACTTCCAAGTAGAGAACTTTTATAAATGTGTTTACTTCTGTTTCCCACTGTAGTTTTCTGTTATCAATGTGATCTCTAAGATTAGCACTCAAATTAAAGCCAATTTGCAACCCTCAATTATTTAGCAGTTGTTCAATTAGTAGTTACGACCTAGATAATTATGTTGAGAGAAATTACTGTGCTCCTCTGAATCACAGAAAAGATCTGTTTGATTTCTGATGTCTGTCCTGCATGTGGGTGGAGAGAGCAGCTTTTTACATATTTGAGATCCTTGATGTCTGTGGCAAGGTCCTGAAGACTACTCCCACCAAAATGATAGCCTTACCAGCTGTATCTGGTACATCGTACAATGTGAGTTAAGAACTAGTATCCTGTGGGAATATTTCAGGACAATTAAAATATGGCAGTTATACAAGTAGCATTTCTGCTTTTGGTAAGCCTCTGTTTGCTAAGCGAGAGAAAAATGTCTGTGGATAACTTTCTAAGGGAGTGATACCGCTGCATCTCCTTTTAGAAATAGGGGTATGCATTTTGCTTTGTCCTGCTTGATGCAACTTTTAATACGGCATGATGCTGCATGTGCAGAGCCCTCAAGTGCAAGAAAATGTGTTCGTCATTTTACTGCTGATAAATTCAGAGGGCAAGGAGAGTGTTAATGATCACTGCTTTAAAACTTTCACATTCCTTAATGGTCAAGAGGGCTTTTTAGAGATACTGTGGACATTGTATTTTTATGTGTGTGGTATGATCTCTGTCTGAGAGTGAGGCAATCTGCAAGCGTACTAACTGGACTACTAAAATGATTTTAGGGTCTCAGGTACCTCTTGGGTTTTTGTGTAAACCATGCTGAAACTTGAGACTATATATGAAATATTCTATGACCAATCAGAGTTAACATCTTTCTCTCTCCCTCTGTGTGTCTTTCTGTCTTTCTTGCTATTTGCCCCCTCCATATACATATACACACACATACACACACACGCACACACACACAGTTTGACTAGAAACTTACGGAAGTGGTGGAATGCTTTTATATAGATAGAGAAAGAGAAATAGAGATATATATGTCACTTCAAAAGATTATTGAAAAATAAATGTTACTTGAACATATTTCTGCCAACCCCATGTAAGTATAAGAGTGTGTAGGGGTTTGTGGTTTGTTTGTTTTACTTTATTTTTAGATTGAATTAAGTGAATTTTGTTTTTTTTTAATTCTTTACCAACAAGGGATCAAAAGGAATATTAAAAAAAAAGCCCTTTATTCTAATGACTAGGTGGCAAGTAAAAGAAAATCTCTCCGTAAATCATAATTAAAATGTTAGCTTTTAAATATTGGCACAACTACAATGATTTTTTTTTTTCCTTTTAAGTAAATGTTTACAGTCTGGAAGACAATCAGATATCTTCTAGATTGTTATTATTAAGGTAATTCTGTTTGTGATTCCTAAATTCTTGACAGCGCTGTGTCAAAATAGGCCAATACATAATCTCAGTAACTTTGTTTTTAAGTCTTGAATGTTTCCTTAAGAAGTAAAATGCTCTTTGTGATACTATCTTAGAATTTCTGTGCAATAACGATTTAAGGATAATTTCTATTTTTAACAAGTTTTTGACTTTATGGGATTGAAGGTGAGTGATGAAAAGTGAGACAACATTTTAAAGAAAAAAATCTGCTTCATAAACAGAGATTAGAAGATTTATTAAAGTTTGTTTCTAGAGTCCAACAAATTCTCAGTGCTTGAGTATCTTTTTATAACATTTACCCACTAATTAGAAACCAGTTCTCAGAAGCTTGTTTTTTTAGTTTTCTTGCTTCATTTATTAGGATAACACAATTCAATTTACAATTGTATGACTGAAAATTAATAACTGTAAATGTAAATGTACAACAAAACCATTAAGATATATTTTAGAGATTTATATCCCTTTGCAAAGAGAAAAAAGAATCTGCAGTTATTGTTTTGGTGTCAGGTCCTTAGGACAAATTTATAGTTGAAACTATTGAACTAAACTAAACTATTACATTAGAGTTGAAACTATTAAGAGCAAGTCATTTCAAACAAGGGCTCAGAATTAGGGACTGGTCAGGACCCTGTTTCCTGCTCAGTGCCCTTCAGTGCTCCCTGAACATCGTGGCTCCATCCTCTGTGTTCTCTTCTCACTTCATTTGTGTCTCCTTTGGAAATTCAGTTCCCCTATTTGTTTATAGATCTATCTTCCTGACACATCTCTTAGCACCTCATTGCTACAGAATATACAGGATATACAGAAGGCCCTTTATAATTATGTGTCCAATGAGCCAGTAACTACTCTGTGCTAATGTTGGACTTTCATATAGATTTCAAAAATGATGTGAAGATTGCTTCCCTATTTTGTCAGTCTTTAAATAACTCCCTCCTTTTTCAGGCTCCTATAAATATATTCAAAATCAGTTTTAGAAATATCATTTTTCTCATCATTGACTTTAATCACCCAGTACACTGGTGTAATGTAAAAAAAAAAAAAAAAGAACCCTGTGATGTTCTTTCTCCTCTTAAAGCCACACTTAGTGTGCAAGAGTTCTGTTTTTTTTTCTTTTTTTAATAGTACTAATACCAATAAACTATTGAGGTATGATGAGATCTACAAATATTTGTTCTAAATTTATTTCCGAAATGTGATTAAATCAGACCATTCTATAGAATAGAACAGAAGAAAATCTGACATAATAAAAGGACTTAAATGTCAATATAGACTAGAGACCAAATAAAATGAACTAGAAATTAAATTAATTGATAGATCATAGACATGCATTCTGTGCACCACTTATTTTCAGTCCAACAATAGTTATCCTTTGTAAAATCACTATAATATTCAAGAATCAGCATATATAGAGATGAAATTTTGCAAGATGAAAGAATTCTGGAGATTGGTCACGTAACATGAATATAATTAAAATAGCTAAGAAGGTAAATTTTATGTAAAGTATATTTTTCCACAATTAAAAATAAGAATAAAAAAGAGTCAGCAAGAAAAAAAGGGAGAAGATACATTAACCTCATTCTTTCAAATGTGAAGCAAAGGTTCTATAAAATTCAAGATGTTATTTTTAAAGGGAAGAAAAAGAATACTCAATTCAGTATTTTTGCTACCAGTGATTACAAACAAACAGACAAACAATAAAAAACAACTTGAAGAAACTTTCAAATTTCCTGCCAGCTACAGTGTTTTATTTTTGCTCTTCATTTATTCATTTATTTAGGGCTTCGTGATTCTAGGTTGATGACTGACTGTTGTCATTTGGCCTGTGCATGGCCCATTTTAATTGATTTATTTACTAACTTACATTGCTTAGTTGTTTTTAATTATGTATTAAACACCTGAAAATGCACCATCCAGAACAAAAGCTAAGATCTGTTAAATAACCTGTTTTTTACCACCAATTTAACCTTTTTCTTTTTACTACTCTTGGGTAATCATCTTTCAGAATACTGTATTCATCACTCTCTTGCTTTTCTTTTCACATACTTATTGAATCTACATATATATCTTCAAAGTATCTCTTATTTTAGTTGCTGTCAACATTATTCTAAGGAGATCATGCTGTTTGTCATTTGACAGATCGTGCTTTTTTCACCTAGTTAGGAGTTGCTACTGTTTTTCATTGCTGTAGTCCATTCAAGTTCTACTGCTGGCCACTTTTCAGAATGGTGTGAAAGCATAAATGCAGTGATTTTAACCATTTCTCAATAAGTAGCATCTTTAGGTTTTTTCTGTGAGCCACATCAAGGTTAGTGGTCACCGGAGCCTGCTGCTGGCTCAACGACCCTACCTCTGTACACTCTTCGATTGTAATTTGTAGTTGCTAAAATGTGCTCTAAGTGAACAACCTTACTTCATTTAAAAATTGCAGAAATTTCGTCGTATTTGTCCTTTAAGAGAGTGTGAGTGCTATTCTCTGTTCTTTATTCAGAGACGTAAAGCCCTAAATTTTTGCTATGAAGATAATACCATGTAAACATTAGTGACTTCTAAGTCATTTGGTAATTCCAGGTTTAGCAAGTCTTTTTCAGTGTATTCCCTCAGGATATTTTCCTTTTTCCTCACTTATTAAAACATTTTCTGCTAACATTGGTGAGAAACGTAATAAGAGTTTGTCAGGAACTCCTAGAACATACATTATTAGCAGCTCAGAGCTTGACTTTCTTGTTTCTTCTTGCCTGTAGCTTAACAGAGAGGATTTCTCTCTGTAAGCCAAGGGACTAATACAACTGTTCTGAGCCTTATTTTGAAAAACTTCCTGGCAGAATTTCTAAAGTTTGTTGAAAACAAAACAAATGATTTGTGATGAATTCAAGACTGATTCAGGAATTCAAGATGAATGCATGAGTAAAAGTGACCAAGGAGCCTGCTGCCCTTGTCCCTAATCACTTGCACAAATGAAATTTATTACGCAGTGGTTGAGACACCACCCCCGCACCCCCAATTCAGGAGACAGACTCTGGGTCATGTTTTAGTTCTGTTGCAAACCAACATCATAGAACCTTGCGTTGTTATTTAATGACTGTATAAATAAGTTTTCTGACCTGAAAATGGGGAGAGTAAGTATAGCTATCTCCTAGGGTCATTGTGAGATTTAAATAAGGTAATGCTTATAGAATGTTTAACTAAGTCACACATGCTATCTCAGTTCCATCTGTGTTAAATATTGTCAGCAAATTCACACTGATCTTTGACTTGGAGTGGTAACATATGCTTGTGACAATGAGCTGTTTCCCACACCTCTCTGCACATGTTTGTAATGCACTGCCACTCTGAGCAAACACAGGAAAACAGGGTAGGAAGAATCTCTCACTTGAGCAAATGCTACCCTGAAATTCTGTTGACATCACAGAAGTTACGGCCTCCTCAACATGATTTGTCTATTACTAAATAGAAATTAGATGATTGACAAATAAGAGCAGGTGATTTTAGCCAGTTTTTTCTCATAAACTTTTTAGGGTGGTTTTGGAAAATATTTAAATCTCAAAATTCTTACATCTTATCTAACAAAATGCTCTTGGATTAATGTTCACTCTTTAATTACACACACTCATTTTCCTAATTAGAAATGTGGAGTGTTTTAGATATGCAAATTCTAACACATCTTGAAATGTTTTACAGATTTATTGGCCTGCTGCAAAGGAACGGGTGGAACTATGTAAATTAGCTGGGAAAGATGCCAATGTAAGTATGACTTTAAACAGTCTTTAAAAAATACCTTTGTTAAACTGGTACTGATATGATAGCAAATATTTATATTGGGTTTTATTGAATTAATGGCATTAGTGTAGTATTTTTAAGATTATACCAATATTCTATGTAAAGATTAATATGGAGTATAAAATATTTCTACTATGCCAAAAGAAATGAGTCTCAGAAATTTAGAAGAACTGTACTTTCTAAGGTGTTAATTCTGAATATTATTATTTTCTTGACCAAAAACAATCTCAGAAATATATTTAAAATATTTAAAAATAAACCATCAGAAAAGAATGTATTTCTGGGATTGTGTATTTTTCATTTAATGCACATATTTTGTGAGTGTACACAAAATCATTAGTTGTTTTAAGCATTACAAGCACAGACTTGATATTTTATTTAATTTGGGGTGAAATTAAACTTACAGCATTTACAAGAATTCTTTCAAAAGTTTACATTATAGAGATATAAGAAGAATGGTTGAAAATGAATAACACAACAAGAACAAGAACTGGAAATAATTCACTCAAATTTACATAAGCACATCTAGGAAATAAACTTACAGAGGATAAATAGTGGGGTCCTAGTATAAACTTCTAGTTTAAGCTTGCTTAAGGACCGGAGAAACCCCTTAGACATGAATATCTGCCATCACCATCTTTGGGGTGTCTCATGTAGGTTGCTTTTGCATTGTCCAAACTGTCCTACATGCGCCCCAAACTGTGTTGCATGTTTTCTGTGCAGCAGTGCTGTGGCTCTGACTGCCTCTTCCCATCGGAGTGTTCTGATTCAGGCCAGATGCTCTGTGTTCTGCCCTGACTTCTTGCACTGTGGTGATAGGGAGAATTGCTCTTTTTTTGGCAAAATAAATCACTTTCTGACTGTGACCCAAGACGAAAAGTTTTAACTCTGGGCAGAGGCATGGACATCTCGAGGCTTCTTTTGCAACATCCTAGAATGCTTGCTTTAACCACAATAACCCAAGAGAATTAAGCTGAGCAATGCCTTTCTTTGTATTTAATAACAGCAAATAGTGTGGGTTATATGAAAGCATAATTAGATTAGAAAGCCTCACTTTATCAGTGTGATAAAAGTAAAACAATAGGATACATACATGTTTCTTAATGAGTTAAGGGGAAGTTTAGAAGATTAAGAATCCAAGACAACAGGTTTGTTCACCAATTTGTTTATTTATTCAACAAATATTTACTAAGAGCCTAAATATGTGCATAAATTTGTGTGTGAAGCACTCATGGAACTTTTGCTTTCCTGAGGGATACACATACTACACACATGATTACGTATACACAGAGGCAGTACAGTGAGCCCTTGGTATCCATGTGTTCTACATCCAGAAATTCAACCAACTACGGGTTGAAAATCCTCCCCCCAAAAAATTTCAGAAAGTTTTAAAGAGCAAAACTTGAATTTGCTGCCTGCTGACAACTATTTACATAGTATTTGCATTGTATTAAGTAATCTAGAGACGATTTAAACTATGTAGGAGGATGTGTGTAGGTTGTGTGCCATTTTATATAAGGGACTTGAGCATCCTTGGGTTTTGGTATCTGTCAGGGTCCTGAAACCAATTCCCCATGGATACCAAAGGATGACTGTCCTGTAAAACATAATAATCAAAATACAACAGAAGAGAGAAACTTTTGATTATACCTGATTTCATATTCAGTCAGTGTTAAATGTGATCATTTCAACCACATCTATGTTAGCAGAACTATATCAGGGAATATTTGCTTCAAATGCAACGGGAAACAGTTTTTACATTTATTTTACTAGAAATAAAAGAGATTAAACTATTCTAGAATATATTCTTCCTCCCATGTCTCTAATTCCTTCACCCTGTTCAGTATCAGGTGCCCTGTGAGCAGGCACTCAGATCTGCAAAAGCATCAGTACTTTTTTGAACTTAGGAGAAAAAAGATGTTTTGGTTATGATTTATCCAGAAATTTTCGTTGCATAACAGTAGAAGCATGTCATAAACAGTGTGAACACTTTTATGTTTTGTGTTTCACCAGTACTGGATGTATGATAAGGAGGCAAGTAGGAAAAGGGTGTTTTATATTTACTCCCATAAAGTTACGTCAACTTTCCCATGGAATAGATGATAGATAAACACTCAAGGTTGGTCAGTGAAGGTTTTAATTGGGACAATGTTCTCAGTTCAGTATGTTCACTAATTCGAGTTATATAGTAACTCAGTTGTCCCTATTATTAAGCTAAAGCAAAGATGATAAACTTTTCTGGAATTGATACCTAGAGAGTACCTAAGACCCAGTATATGGGACCTATTCTTCCAATTCAGTTGTATTGAGGAGCTAGTAGTCACCTCTAGGTACACCTGCTGTTAACCTAGGATTAGAGACTTGGGGAGCTTTTCTCTTTCTACTGAAGTTGGTAAAGTTTGCTGTAGAATTCTGTAGGAATGATACAAATTTTTGTCTCCTTCTTTTCAATTTGACCCTTTAAGATAATATTATGTATTAGAGTTACTAAGAATAGCTAGCATTCTTACAGCACTTACCACTCAGTGCTTTATACCTATAATCTTATTTAATCCTTACAACAATACTACATGTTAGCTTTTATCATTATTCCTCATTTTCTAGGTGAGAAGACTGAGGCCAGAGCAATTAAATGACTTGCCCAATATTACATACATAGTGAATAGTGAAGCCAGGAATTAAATCCAGACATCTTGCCCCACAATCCGTGCTCTAATAAAACACTATAATCTACACATAAAGGTCCAAATTTGATGTAAAAAGACTAAAACCTGTATCCCTCAAATCATTTCTCTCTTCAGTATCACCATAATGTAGACGCTGATTTTACAGCATGACACAGATTTTGGCCAACAGAAAACTGAGACAAGTGTGTGGTTTTACTGACATTTTTTACTGCCTTTGGCATTACCCTCTCTCCTCCCTTCCCTCTAGTAATTTTTACCTGCTTCCCAAGAGTATGTTTAGAATTAACAAGTGTTTGGAAAGACTGTCCCTTTACTCAAAGGTACTATATAACTGAAAAATAGTGAATTATTTACCATAATGAAAGTTAGCTAATTGGAATGGGGAGGGAGTGGAAGAAGAGGAAACACAAGAGAACTATTCCACTTTCTTGAACACAGTTCCCAGTTTAATCCAAAGAAGGGAAGAAGTGACAGGAAGCTATTTGGTTATATTTTATTTCTGCTTAGAATATTATTCAAAAGAAAATGCTGTAAAAGAATGGGGTAGATGGCTCAGTCTAGGCAAAAGAATGCACAGGGTGTGGGCAGCTTGGACTGTCCGCTTAACTGTCGGGGTGCACAACCTTATCAATGGAGACATTATATAGGGTTAAAGATCTCCCTCTAAGGTTCTCTGATTACATTCTTTATTTTTTTTAAGAACATGTAAAAGTAAAACAAAGTGTTCATTGTAGAAAGTTTGAAAATTATATAGAATTCTGTAAATATCTCTTCCCCCATGAACATTAGCCAGAGATAGCTGGTGACATTTTGATGTTTATTCTTCTATCTTATCTATTTACTATTTTTCAGAATGAAATCATTGTATACATAGTCCCTTAAAACATTTTTTTTCACTTCGCAGACTGCCATGAAGATTTTCCCATGTCGTTAAATTCCTTTTTATAACACTACTTTTAATAGCTATACTGCATTCCTTTATATATTATTTCATCACTCCCCAATTGTTAGAGTTTTGGTATAAATCCAGTTTTTACTATTGTAAATGATGCTGCACATAAAAAACCTTATATATAAATATTGTGAACATCTTTGGTTATTGAGTAGAATTACTGGTCAAAGGATAAAAAATCTTTTATACACATTGTCAAATTGCCCTCCAGACAGTTTATGTGTCTTAAGCTTTAACCAGCAGTGATGCTCTTGAGAAGGTACATTTCCCCTTACTCTTGCTAATATTGCATGTGGCATGTAGTTAGTAGTTAATATGAATACACTAATGAGTAAAATAAGTGTATTAAATTTTTATCACAGAAAGAAAATTATTTTTGTTGTTTCAGCTTGAAATTCTTTCATTACTATAAATACTGTTTTAGGTAATTGTAAAATTAGAGTTTATATTTATGTATTATTACTGTGTGATCCACACATGTAAAAAAATTCTTTCCAGTTATCGAATTTGATCTATAGATTTAAAAATATTTAAATAGGCATATCTCTTAATTTTTTCCTTTAAAATGGTTTTCTTTGTCCTTTTACTTTTCCTCTAAGTATTAATTTTTATATTTTCTTTCTTTCTTTAATTGTATTTCTCTCTATATACCTGTAAGGATGTATATGAGAAGTAAAATATTGAAGCAAATACTATTACTTGTGAGAATGAAAAGGTTGATACTTTTTTTCCTATCATGGGTGAATGATACTTTTTAATTCTCTCTCTTTCCAGTGGACCTCTGGGAGGTGGGAAAGGAGGGAGGAGGTAGGAGGAATAAGGGAAGGAAGGAGAAGTTCAATTCTTTTCCAGAGTTGAGTCTATTATTCACTGAACTGAATTGTTTGGTCACATGCAATAACTCTTGCCATTGTGGTCAATAGCTCATAAGTTAGCCAGCTTTCAGGGAAAGTTGAAAAAAAAAAAAGCTGCTTCTCCAAGTTATCTTTCTTCATGCCTCACAAAATTACACTACCATTGATAGCCATGCAGGTCACTAAGTGAATTAAATCAAGTTAATTATTGCTCATGCTATTTAAGCACAACTTGGAAACTTGTGCATAAAAAGAAAACAACACAGAATCTTTGAGACTTGAAAAAATAAGTTATAAATTAAAAGAGAAATCATTGTAAAGTTTTTTGCATCCCTTCCGGTATTTGGCTGAAATGTCCACCCCAGACAAAATTTAAAGTAAGAGACCTTATCTTTTAGAATCTCTTTTCCCAGGTTTTTTTCCTTCAGGCAGCTAATGCCTTTTCATTGCCTCCAGGCCACTTAGAGAACTGCCCTCCATCAATGTCACCGCAGAAAACTTTGAGCAAAACTGACTTCTTTGTAAACTACGTCAATTAACTCAGGACTCATCCGTACATTGTTCTATCCCATGTCAGCCCAATCTGAGAGAAGAGAGGAATTTCATAAATAAATCCTTGGTAATGTCGCACCAAGTCGGTTACTTTTCAGGGCTGACTACATTTTAATAAAGTCCTCCTGGAAAAGGATGTGAAATGCTCTGGGTGTGATTCGGAGCTTGTTTTCTTTAGAATCACTAAAATTGTATCTCCTATGTGCCTAAAACTTCACTGTGGGCCTTATTTCCCTTTTTAAACAGTGCTGTGTCTCTCCTAGTCCCTAATCTTTCTGACTGCATAATTTATAATCTGGAAAGGGAGTTGTTTTATTTCTTTAGACAAATATTTATTTCAGAATCTTGTAAAATCACTGCGTTAGTCAGCTCGGGCTACCATAACAAAATACCATAAACTAGGCTGCTTAAACAACCAACATTGATTTCTCACCATTCTGGAGGCTGGGAAGCCCAAGATCAAAGTGCCGCTGACTTAGTTCCTGGTGAAAATACTCTTGTAGGCTTGATGGCCATTTTCCTATTGTATCTTCACAAGGCAGAGAGTGAGAGCAAGTGCCTGGACTCTTCTTATAAAGGCACTAGTCCCATCATGAGGATCTCATTGCCCTGACTTCTCCTAAAGCTAATTACTTCCCAAAGGTCTCACCTCCTAATACCATCACCCTGGGGAGAGTAGGTGGTTGGGGGGGCAGTTAGAGTTTCAACCTATGAATTTTGGGAGGACACAGATATCTACTCCATAACAATAACCCTCTGAATTCTGTGACTATTTGATAAAACTGAGCTTTTGAAAAAATAATGAAATCACTGGCAGTGAGTCAACCCCACCTCACTCCAGGCATATATCTCTACCCTCCCCCTCCCTGTGGACTGTTCCTTATGTAAATCTCTTAATGGGGAAAGACTGATAAATAGAAGTCCCTTAAGTGAGCTTGAGTGAGCAGAATAAAGGCTGGAGAATATTAGAATCTCTTACCCTAGCAGTGAAGCCATCATTACAATTTATTTGAGGATCACATGCATTTTTTATACTTTTGCCTTGACCTGTCTCATAGTACTGTGTCATTATTTGTTCAAAGCCATCAGTATGGCATATTTACTCTCTGAATTAGGTTTTCATGTGCGGTTGCCTAACATGATGTTAAAGGACGCAAAGCTAGTTCCCTCTGGTGCCTTTGTGCAAATAGAAAATAAATTTTCTTTATCAGATACCTTGATGGAAGGGTGGGAAACATAATGTGATTTTGTTAAACAAGATAATCTGCCAGGAAATTGTCTCAATGAATATAAAATTTTCCTTTCTTAGGAGTCTACATACAATAATTCTATGAGAACATATACTAAACAGATGAAAATACTTAGGGAAATAAAGATGTCTGCAGGGTGATTTGCACATCCTTAGATATGACTTTTTTTTTTTCCAGCATACAACCTAAGTAGCCATACACAGCAGCTCTCCTCCTATTAAGAGAATGCTGACTCTTCCTACCTGATAAAGAAACATCCTTCCCTTGCATGGCTAATTCAGAGACTGATGCTGTCCTTTCACATACTCTTAAACAACTGCTTGGTTTATAAGGAAGCAGAAGGCAGAAGAGTCAAAAAGTCAGTTCTGTAGTAGAATGTGCAGGTTTTATTCCCCGGAATCTACAAATTCTTGAGATGTAAAATTACTAGGCTGGCTGGACGAAGGAAGAACTAGGTACAAAGAACTCCGTACCCTAGATATGCAGACACAGCTATTCATTCTAACATCAGCCCCTGGGATATTGATAGTTTGTATAGTCAAAATCAGTATAAGTCATACATGATTATTAAATGTTATTTAATTAAATCCACATAATAACCATCATCCTATCAGCTACCTGTCTGCCTTTTAAAATTTTTTAGTTTTAAAAACCACCCTACTGGTTAGGTTATTGTCTTTTTTATTTTTATTTTGTTAGTATTTTTGTCCAGTCGACCCTAACAACAACAGTGACCTGATGGATGAGAGACCCATGGCCACTCATGCAGAGAGAAGCTGGACTTTCTCTGTGAATCCCAGAGGTTTCTCCTTCAGAGACATTTGCTTGTCTCCTGGGTAGTGTTAATGTAAAATAAAAGTATGCCACTGCCTAGTGTTTTCTCAGGCTTCTTTGGGCCCAGGAATCATGAAGCCATGGTTAAGAAATAGTTTCCAATAGTTTATGTAAAGATAAGGAACGACTTACTGGAGGTGAATTGATAATAATATGCAATAACAAGAGTGATGACTCTGAAAAACTGAGTCATTATTTTACAAGTAGCTGGGGGATAGAAACTAATTAAGTTATAAAGACAGTAAGTTGTAAAGAAATATTTTTAGGCCTAAGCATTTGCAAAAGAGGTGGACGTAAAAATGTCTTAAAATTTTGACTTGGTGTAAAAAAATATTTTATGAAAAAAGCAGAAGAGAGTCCTGGAATAAGCAGGAATTAAGCTAAGTCTTAAAGGGGCTGTAACACTGAATATAAATGGTAATAAAGTGGCAGCGCATTCTGGAAAATAAGAATGGAATAATATATAGGAATACACATCTGTGTCCAGTGTTTTTGTTCAGTGTGGCTGAGACAGTTGGAGTTGAAAACAGCAGGATCTATATGGAATAGACATTGGGAACATCGGAACATGGTGGATTGGTTGTCTAGGTACCTCATATTCCGTTTATATTCATTCTCGAAGCCCGACAGAATCCTACAATAGAGATATGCATTCTAGCACTCCAATCAGTTCAAAACCTTAAAGCTTCAAAAAGCTTCAAAGGTACTCTTTTAAGCCAAAGTTTCTAATTTGTTTTGTTTTGCTTCCTTTACTAACTCAAGTGCTTATACATTACTCATAAAACTATTTTATTTTTGCTCTTATATTTGATGATTTATCTACTTGAAAAAACAGGTGGTATGAATGATTATCTTTCAGATACCTGAGTTGTTTGCTAATGCTTTTATTTTTATGCCCAACAGACTGAATGTGCAAATTTCATCCGAGTACTTCAACCCTATAACAAAACTCATGTTTACGTGTGTGGAACTGGAGCATTTCATCCCATATGTGGATATATTGATCTTGGAGTCTACAAGGAGGTAATATAATAAAACAGCATGAAAACAATTTACTGTAGTAATTTGTAACTTAATGCCTATGACTTAAATTAGACAGATTTGAATAACAAGATTGAATCGTATTCTGTATGAACTGAGTAAGAATTTATGTTCATGTTCTCAATCACTTTATGGATTGCCATTTTGGTTATATACTTTATCTACCTAGTAAAAATTTGTTCTATTGAAAGTGTTTTATATGTTTACCTGGGGGAAGGTGGGTAGGAAGGGATAAATTGGGAGTTCAATATTTGCAGATACTAACTACTATACATAAAATAGGTAAATAACTGGTTTCCTCTGTATAGCACAGGGAACTATATTCAGTATTTTGCAGTAACCTGTAATGAAAAAGATTATGAAAACAAATATATGTGTGTATATGTATGACAGAAACATGCTGTGCACTAGAAATTGACACAGCATTTGTAAATTGACTACTTCAATAGAAAAAGAAAAGAAGTTTTTAATGAGATGATGAAAATTAATAGTGTAAAACATTGAAAGTGCTTTTTTTCTAGCCTCTATGTGTGGTTTTAGTTTCTCTTCGGTTTCCTTGATAACTAGATCTATTTAGTATGTTGCTGTTGATAAAAATTTATTTTCCCTAAGACTTTACAATAGAATTATATCTTATAAATTTATTTTTCCCATCTAACTTAGTTGACCTGTTACATATATTTACAATAGTAGACATTAAGTATAGATAATTTTAATGATTTTCTTAAAATTGTATAGATAGTCATTAGCACACTGGACTCATTATTTCTGCCAGACCAAATTGACCTAGTGGAAATAAAGGATGTATTACTTACGAGTGATGTGTTCCAGCTATCAGTGAGCATTTCAATAGAAGAGGAACATGCAGGTTGGAATAATTCCATCAATAACTAATATGTTAGAATGCTTTCTTTGTGTCATGGATGGTGCCAGGCACTTTACATGGATTGTCTCTTTGGAATTTCACAGGACCCTTAATGAAGTTGGTACCTTTATAACCCCCAGTTTGCAAGTTAATAAAAATTGAGTCACAGTGGAATGAAATAACAGGCCTAAGATCACCTAACTAATAAATGGTCTAGCAAGGATTGAAACAAAGGAGTCTATCTCTAGAGCAAGCTTGCCCAACTGAGCTTTAGAATATGTTTTCTAAATCGTTTCTTTGTGTGGGTTGACGGGTTACACTGTCATCCTTATGTTTATGTATATACTTCTTATGAATAACCACATGTATTTGCAGGATAATCGGCTGCCTGTTTGAAAGTAGAGGCTGGGCTCATGGAACAGGTTTCTTTACATTGATTTAACTGATTCTTGCAGAGATCAAACCCCCAACTGTGGCTGCATAAATTTTTCTCTCTAACCAACTTTTCTAACCAGCCTTTTCTAAACCAACTTTTGATGGTTTGAAAGTAAAGCAACCCTGATAGCTGAATCTCTGAACCACTAGGAGACTTGGCAACTTGAATCCATCATTCTTTGTTGCTGGTGTAATGTTCTCTCGCCTAGCTTTGATGAAGGGTAATATATAACAGTGGCTCATAGCGTAGGGTATAATTATATGAGATAGCCCCACAGCTTGGATCTGTTTTGAGGCTGGAGGCTAAAGGCCAAACCCCCAACCTACTGAGGGATGCAAATAGTGTTCTTTAACTCCTAAAAGTCACAAGTGCTGAAAGGGAACATAGAAGGAGCTAATTTCTTAGTTTGAGACTGTCAGAGAGCCCCGGGACAGTCAAATTTACAAGTTCTGTGAACAAGAGAATTATGAGTGAACAGGAGTATTGAGCCTTGTGGGTTTTCCACTAGTCAGGAGTGCAGGTCATTGTACGGTAGCCCTGCTTGAAGACTTAACTTTTAAAATGGTCTGTTAGTCCCAGGATTTGCTGTCCTTTCAGGGGGAAGGCACTTCCATTTTCAAATAGATAAGGTTGCTCCTAAGGTAGCTGAGAAGAGAGAACAGCAACAGATAAAAGGAACAGAGGAAGTACAGGCAATTTACAATGTTGTGTCAATTTCTGGTGTACAGCACAATGCTTCAATCGTACATGAATACACTTGAATAAAAAAAATTCAAAAAGAAAATTCACCTTTTAAAAAAAGGGACAGAGGAGATAACTGTGGGAAGTCCTCTTTCTGGGGACCACTGTTGTGTGTCTGGAGCAGTGAGAAGGAAGAGGAAACAGCTAAAATGAATCCTGGATTTCTATCTTTGGCAGTGAGTTGGAGAGTGGTGTTATTTATTGAGGTGAGAATAGTAACCGATTTGTGGGGGAAATGGTGAGTTAGTTTTGTACGTTCTGCATTTGAGGAATGTTCTGTAGGTCATGCCAAGTGGGCAGTTGGATCCCGATTTCAGAACAGAAGTCAGGGTTGTTGTCAACAACTAAGAGTTTGAACATGGGGAGCCAGAGTTTGAATTATGGCCCCGGTCCTTTTACCAGCTCCATGGTCTTCTGCATAAACTTTCTAAGCTTCAGTTTATTCAGCCAAATTATGATAATAAGAGTAACTCACAGTTATTTTGAGTATAAAGTAAGAAAATGATTGCATGGTCTTTGGCATAGGACTTGTTCCATTTTGGTCACTTAATACTCAGCCATATTAGGCAACAGGAACCCAGAAAGGTAAAGAGGCAAATATTTCAAAAGTATGTGTGTAAACTTTATTTTAAAATAATGTCTGCAGGGGGAGGGTAGAGCTCATTGGTAAAGTACGTGTTTAGCATGCACAAGGTCCTGGGTTCAATCCCTAGGACCTCCACTGAAACATAAATAAATACAAATAAATAAGCCTAATTAAATAACTTAAAAAAAGAAACCTAATTACCTCCCCCTAAATTTTTTTAAAAATAAATAAAAATAAACAGAATTTATAAAATTACCGCCACCCTCAAAAATTAAAAAAAAAAAATCTGTAATCTGTCTGTCTATTCTGCAATACTGGGATGCCTGATACTGTTAAAAATTAGACTGGAAGTATGTTCTTTACTCTGGAATCTCCCTTCTGCTGCTGTACATCTCAATAAATATTAATAATATTAATAATAACTTGGCCTAGTTGAGATGATTAAATGTTTCCTATTCGTATCCCTTCAACAGTATTTCTTGCTGTGCAGTTTAGATGGGTACTTTTTGCATAATTAATTAGGCTTAAGGAATTTAGTGGGAAAAATCTTCTAAAATTGAAGTTGTCTCAAAAGTTGGAGTGTAACTTAATTCAGTCAGTTTATCTCAGGAAGTCCATTTAATCAACCATTATTTTCTACATCATTTTCCTGTTGGTGCCCTTGACTGTGGCTCAAGGAAACTTGCTTTCCTTCTATCTCCTTTCTCCAGGAGATTATAAAGGAGACCTTGTCCTTTGTCTCCACAAATACCGATTTTATGGGCTTATCTTGAGAATTTAACGAAATGTTGCATTTTGACAACAGACGTCTGTACAATTAGGACTTTGCATCAACTATGACATTCTCCCCGATATTTTCTTTTC